CATTTGATAAAACAAGGTAAGTGGCTAATCAATGGCTAGGACTGTTTAAATGGTTGCAGAAAATATTTTCCATACTTTTCTCTAGCATGCCTAATGTAGAATTTATGAGAAAAATGTTTACATCCTACTGTTCCTGCCAAATATGTCATATATTTGTATGAGTCATAAGTACCTACAGCCACACAGACATCAGTCTAAAGGATTTCAGACATTTAAATGGCACTGGAAGAGGACACTAGTTATTCTACGAAAGGAAAGGAGCGACAAAAGGAAGAACTAAAAAGCCACTTGAACAAAGAGTCCATTGAACTGAGTGAATGATCTCCATGGCTAGCACAGAAGTCAATCCTCTTCTCTCTGGAGCTCCTCCTACCCTGGCTGTATCTCCCAAAGTCCTACACACAAACAGTCCATACTGCCTCCAATTGTGTCAGGCTTCGGCACATCATTCTCGAAGGAATCAAGTCCACCTTCCCAATCTTGCTTATAGGGCCTCTACCATATAAAACTGACCTTTGCATTTGGCCCAGTCTACTCCCAGATACGCAATCTCCACTCCAGCCAAACTGGTCTCCTTTCTGTCCCCAACACTGCAGGCTTTCTTGTTTGTTTCCAATCTGACAAAATTTTCTTACTTAAAACAACTCAAGTTCCAAAACTCTGAGAAAACTTTTTCCACTCTTTGTTCCTGGCAATGAGAGAATACTTACCTATCACCTAATCTTTCAACATATTTATTTGCATATCCTTTTCTTCAAGAATTTAGCATAGTGCAGAGGGGTGTTCAAAAGCGTTCTTTAAGGGCTGGGAAGGTCACTCAGTGGTAGTGCGCTTGCCTTGCATGCCTGAGGCCCTGGGTTCGATTCCTCAGCACCACATAAGCAAAAAGAAAAAAGCCGGAGGTGGCGCTGTGGCTCAAGTGGTAGAGCGCTAGCCTTGAGCTGAAGAGCTGAGGGGCAGCCCCCAGGCCCAGAGTTCAGGCCCCACAACCGGACCAAAAAAAAAAAAAAAGCGTTCTTTAAAAGTGAATTCAGCTGGGCTTGGGTGGCTCATGCCTGTAATCTAACTACTCAGGAGGCTGAGATCTGAAGATAGCAGTTCAAAGCCAGCCCAAGTAGGAAAGTTAGAGACTCTGATGTCCAATAAACTACTCAGAAAGAGCCAGAAGTGACATAGTAGCTCAAGTGGTAGAGAGCTAACCTTGAGAAAAAGCTCAGAGACAGATCCCAGGCCCAGGGTTCAAGCCAAAAAAAAAAAATGAATTCAAACACAAAAATAAACTCAAGGGCAAGGAACCTCTACCTTATTATTTCTTTGATTACCAGTCAACATTAACCAAATAAGAGGAACTATTTGCTGATTCCTCTGTAATAGAACTAAGCAGCAAGCCTTCAAGTCCTACAGACCCACGACTTCTTTAAATAATTATCAACAATTTCAAAGACACTTCAAGACACCCAAATTACACAAGCCTAACAAGAATTTAGTGCACTAAGAAGGCATCTTAAAAGACAATCAAAAACAGAACTCATTTAAACACACAATCCTGAAAATACACAAAAGGCTACTGTTGCAAAATAAAGTATAAAACATCCAGAAATATGAACAATCTGACTCAGTTATTTGCTACCCTTTCTGTACATCCTCCCTCTGGTGCCCGGTGCCCTTCCATGATTCTCTGACTCCAGTGTTTTAGAAAGGATCAACAATTAGGTGAACCACAGACCTAAAATTTTCAATGATCTCATCTTGCCATTTCCAATTACTGAGAACATTACTAATCCCTCCAAAAAGTGAATCAAGAGAAACCAAACAAGAGAGAAATTGGACACAGTGTCTCCTGCCTGTTATTCTAAGAAGTTACAGGTGAGGGTGAGGGTGAGGTTGGGAGGATCATGGTCTTAAATCAGGTCCACGAGTTTGTTTCCAACTCAGTAAAGGAAAAGTAGACCCAGTTGTGTGCACCTATCATTCTAGCAATATCAGGAAGCCTCAAATAGGCAGAGAGTAGTCCAGGTGTGCACCAGGGAGAAAGTGAGACACTATTTAAAAAATAGCTAGTGAGCTGGGCGCTGGTGGCTCACACCTGTAATCCTAGCTACTCAGGAGGCTGAGATCTGAGGATCACAGTTCAAAGCCAGCCCAGGCAGGAAAGTCTGTGAAACTCTTATCTCCAATTAACCACTCAGAAAACAGGAAGTGGCACTGTGGCTCAAGTGATAGAGTGTCTGCCTTGAGCTGAAGAGCTCAGAAACAGTGCCCAGACCCAGAGTTCAAGCCCCATTACCAACCAAAAAAAAAAAAAACAGCTAGTGATAGATGTGGCTCAGAAATAGAACACCTGACTAGCAAATGTATGTGAGTCCCTGAATTTAAAACCACAATATCACAGGAAGAAAGAAAATAAGAGAGAGAGAGAGAGAGGAAGAGGGGGGAAGGAGGGAAGGAAGGAAGGAAGGAAGAAAGGAAGGAAGGAAGGAAGGAAGGAAGGAAGGAAGGTAGGAAGGAAGGAAGGAAGGAAGGAAGGAAGGAAGGAAGGAAGGAAGCAAGCAAGCAAGCAAGCAAGCAAGCAAGCAAGCAAGCAAAGGAGGGAGGGAGGGAAGAAAGAAAGAAGGAAAAGAAAAAGTGAGCAAGCAATCAACTTCCACGCAGCAAGGCCCAGCAGGGAATAAAAATAAACTCTGGTCTTTTTAAGCCCAGGACAGATACCAGGGTTTGTGCTTGCCTGCCTGGCACTATGTGAGTGCTGTACTAACTAGTTTCAAACCAATGTCCAGATCTCTGCTTCCCCAAATAGCTGGGATAATAGGCATGACCCATCAGTACCCTGCAAGTCCAGCACTTGTCCACAGTCTTTGGAAGAACTAAAAGTAAAGATTACAGAACAAGCAGGAGGAAAGTCAAGTCCTCCCATTAAAAAAAAAAAAAGTGAACTACAGCTCTATCTGTCACAGGAAAGAATGTAAAAAGAAACTTAAGAGGAGGAGGAACAGGATAGTTTCTGATAGCTCCCTGAAGCATGATTACCAATTATGGTTCTTACAATTAAGGACAAGAATCAAAAGGAATAAGACACCAATTCACAAATTCCAGGAAGTGTGCCTTCTAAGGAGGAAGGCTCACAGCTGCTCCCCCACCCCACCCCCCCCACCCCCAGATGCTCCGAGATGCTGGAACACAAGCTTGCTTCCTCCTGGCAGAGCAGGGAATACACTGTCCCACAAATAGCTTTGTTGCCAGTGGCCAAACTGGCTTTGCCATCTGCCTCTCTCCACATCGCTCCTGCTCCAAAGGGAGCTGCCACCATACCACTAAGGATACTCCCCACCCCACTGACACTGGTTAACACTGAGCCACGGGAGTCAGACCCTTAGGTTCACTCCAATCCTGACTATATACTTACCCATACTTCCTCCACATGCACAGCCCCTCCCTGCATGCTAGCCAACGCACCAGTCCAGTGCCAAGGGCCTGGAAGGACATCCACCAAATAAGCCCACTCATCACATGCCACCCCAAAAGTGGGTCCCATTCTAGTTTTGCAACCCTAAAGAGGTCACAGGACCCAAAAAGAACCTTGGAGAGTCTCCAAAGAAGCAGAGTGACTTGCTTCCAAAATTACAGGGATGGCTCACTAAAATCTTTCTATTAAAATACATTCCAGCTCATATATTTAATGAAGATTAACTGGGCCAGGCTCTGTGATGGACAGATGAGGCAGTAGGCTCAGTACGTCTTAATCTTCATAATGCAAAACGTAAGGATGGGGGTGAAGTGGGATCTACAAGAGACAAACTATGAAGTCAGGAAATCACCAACTTAGTAAGAAAAGGCCTGACAGGGAGACTGGATATGGCCCAGTCCCAGGATCTGTATCTGTGTGTGTGTGTGTGTGTGTGTGTGTGTGTGGCCCAGTCCCAGGATCTCTGTCTCTGTGTGTGTGTGTGTGTGTGTGTGTGTGTGCGCGCGCCCACGTGAGCACTGGTCAAGGGTCTTGAACTCAGGACCTGGACATTGTCCCTGAGTTTTTGCTCAAGGCTAGTGCTCCACCACCACTTGAGCCATAGTTCCACTTCCCTTTTTTTTTTTGGTGCTTAAATGGAAATAGTCTTGCAGACTTCCCTGCCTGGGCTGGCTTTGAACCCTAACCTTGACATCTTGGCCGCCTGAGTCTCTGTCTTTTTCCAGAGGGAAGTAGCCAGGGGAGGGGGCTGGTTCCCTCACGGTGGCCTCTCAGGGACAGTGGGTCGCAGAGTGGTCAGGCTCCAGGCTCTCCAGGAGCTAACGCCCCGCAGGCCACTTCTCTTAGACTAGACTCCTTGCAAGATCACCGCATTACACTGAGCTCTCCGAGTTCTCCGGTTTTCTAGGGCGTTTTTCAAGAGAGAGATGGGGACAGATAGGGAAGGGAAGGCACGGAGTGGAGAAGTCTTAGAATTCCCAGTCCGAGGCGGGGCCGGTCAGGGGCCAAAGGGCCGGCGGCCCGCTGACCCTTGCAAACCTCGATCTTTGAACTGTCCCCGGCACAGGAGGTGGGAAGGAATGTGCAGGAGGCAGCCCAAGGCCGGGTGGACTTTCTGGTTTGGCACAGCCAGGGACCTGGGACCGGAGTGCCCGGGAAGGGGCGAGGAAGACCGAGCGCGTGCCGCCCGAGGCATCCAATGAGTAAATAAAAGCTGTTTGGAAAGGTCGCGAGATAAAACAGGTCAAAGCGATCTGCCCGTGCTGTGGGCCGCTGGGGTGGGATCAAAGCCCAGGCCCCAGCGGGCACGGATCGCGGGGGGCGCAGAACCCAGGGGCGCGGGACTGGGCAGAGGCCAGGGGCGGGAAAGAGGATCGGCCTCGGCGGCCGGGGAGGACCGACCGGGCCCGTGGAGCCGGGCGGACGGACGGGGGTGGAGGGGACTCCGGGGATCTCAGAATCGGGAGTCGGGCGGACCCCGGGTGCGGGGCCTCGCCACGCCGCCGCCCGCCCGGCGCGCCCGGGTCTCCCCGCTTACTCTTGGTGGCAGCGATGAGGTTCTTGCCGTCCTTGATGAGCTCTTTGATGAACTTGTTGGTCCTCTCGAGCTCCGCTTCGTGCGCGCGGATCCTCTCCCGGAACCAGGGGCTGTCGAGGTAGCAATCGCTGAACTCCAGGGGCTGCAGCCCCATGTCGGCCGCGGGCGGGCGGGCGGCGCCCTCGGCCCCAGCCGGGCTCCGAGGCGGCGGCCAGGTGCGGGGCGGCGCGCGCGCGCGCGCGGGCAGGAGGCCCCGGGAGCAGCTAGCCGTGCCGGGCGCGCGGGGCAGGCATGTCCCGCGGCGCGGAGCGGAGCCGCCACCAGCCCAGCGAGCGAGCGAGCGAGCGGTGGAAACGCGTGGCCCCGATCGCGGCGGCCCGCGCCCCTTCTCTCCGCGCCCGCCTCCTCCCTCCCCCTCCCTCTTCCCCACGCGCTCGCCCCTCCTCTTCCTTCCAGGCGTCCTCGTCTAGAATTTCGGCCGCGCGGCTCCTCCACCCCCGCGCCCCCCCCTCGGCCCCCGGGAATCGGGGTGACTCACTGTCGGCTCCCCAACGCGGGGAGCCCAGCCGGACTCGGAGGGGGCGGCAGTGCCCTCGGGTCCCCTCCCCCCGGCCCCCCGAGGCCGGCCCGAGGACCGCACTGGGGGCCAAGAGGAAGTGATTGACTCGTTTCTCCCGTTGATCCCGGGACCAACCCGGCGGGACTGGCGCGCGGCCCCCCTCGGTGCCCCTTTCCACCCCAAGGCTGCCGCTCCCTCCACCCAGTCGTGGGCCCCGGGCCCCCCAGGCCTCTCCCACACCTCTGCCGGCCCACGGGCAGAAGGCTGGGGTTGGGGGGTTAGCACGTGGGGTTAAACCGCAGGAAAATTGTCGGTGTGGAATTGAGCGGATTAAATTCCCGGCTTGCACGTCTGCATGTCGATAAATATTATTTTATATGCACACAGGCTTGGTGCCTTGGCGGATTAAATTATTTGGGTAGGCAGAGGCCGGTTCTTTATTATTACCCTAAAAGTAAACAAGAGAGGAGGTGGTAAAACGATCAGCTGAAAATTCATAGCGATGCCCTCCCGGAAAAAAAAAAAGCCTTCCTAATCCTTGTGTTCTGCAATAAAATAGTAACTTGTGAAAGTTACTGAAATTTATACCTAGAAGAACACACAAGTGGTTCAATAAAGTAACTTTGCAGAATACCAAGCAAGCATTTCTTTAGACAATGATCATGTGTCAGGCACACGGCTGCATGTTTACGTGTTTTAGTTTACTCCTGTGGAAACTTCAAAGCCATTCGTTAAGATGTTCAGACTGTGAGCTGGGTAATTAAGAAGCTGTTTGGACTAGGAGCTGTAGGAGTATAACCCTCCGGAAGAAGTTAAATAAGCCTCCTACTCAATAAACTTTTGTTACAAAACAGCACGGTGAGTGCCTAACCCACAGATAAACATTGCTTTCATGCCCTTCCTCCAGAAAGTTCAAGATGTTTTACAAATAACTTTGAAAGCTTAGACCCCACTAAAAGCAGCAGAGAATTGGAGTCTACCAAGGGAATAAAAGGGAGGAAAAATACTCAGGTGATGTCAACAAACAGTGAAGGGCTTGTAAAGCCAGTACTCAGTCCTCTGCACCAAAAAAACCACTCCCCCTCCCAACACAACACACAAAGGTGAACATGGAAGAACTCTATGACCAGCAACACTGTTAGGTATATGCCCAAGAGACATGAACCCATATGTTCACAAACATGCTATTTCCACACTGGGTCTGTCAGCACACACTTATAATCCCAGCCCATGGAATGCTGAGGCAAGAGAATCCTGAGTTCAAAGGGAGCCTGGGCTACTCACTAGACCTTATCTCACACATACACACAAACCCTATACATGAATGTTCATAAGTGCATTATCCATTAGTAGCCAAAAAGTCCATCAACTGTTGAATGACTTAAAGGAAATGTATATATCCATAACATGGAATGTTAATCCACAATAAAAAGGAATGCAATACTGCCACACTCTAAAATGCAATGAACCCTGAACACAGGGCACTAAGTGAAAGAAACCAGTCACAAATCCCATGAGTTATTACCCATTCATATATAATGTCCCAACAGGGAAATTTATAGAGACAAGAAATATGTTAGTGGTCACCAAAGGCTGGGAAGGTAGAGTGAAATGTTTAAGAAGTGACTTCTCCTGGGAGTTCTGCAAATATTTTAATCTTAGATGTTGATGATGAATGCACAATTCTGTAAGTAGACCAAAGAAAAACAATGAATTGTATACTTTAATGAGTGTAATTTTGGTATGACAAATATATCTCAAAAACAAAAAGGGCTGGGCGCTAGTGGCTCACACCTGTAATCCTAGCTGGAGGCTGAGATCTAAGGATCGCAGTTCAAAGGCAGCCACAGCAGGGAAGTCCTTGAGACTCCTATCTCCAATTAACCACCAGAAATCCAGAAGTGGAGCTGTGGCTCAAGTGGTAGAGCACTCACCTTGAGCTGAAGAGCTCAGAGATAGCACCCAGGCCCGTAGTTCAAGCCCCATGACCAGCACAAAAAAAGTATTTTTTTAATTTTATGAAGAAGACTAAGGTATAGTTCAATAGTAGAGGATTACTAAGGCCCTAAGTTCTATCCCTAACACTCCAAAAGAAAGAGAAGAAGACAAAGGAGGAGGAGGAAGAGGAAGAGGAGGAGGAAGAGGAGGAGGAGGAGGAGAAGGAGGAGGAGGAGGAAGAAGAGGAAGAGGAAGAAGAGGAGGAGGAAGAGGAGGAGGAGGAAGAGGAGGAACAGGAGGAGGAGGAGGAAGAAGAAGAAATGATGACAGGCTATTCCAAGCAATTGACTCTCTTTACCAATAATAAAACCTCTATTTATTCAGTATGGCCAGGTCTTTAGATATTTGAAGCAAGACTTGTCTAAAACAAATTGATAACCACAAAATATCATTACTTGTTATTTCACATATACGCAATGTCCCAGAGCACATGGATATGAATCTTAATAGGTCTACTATGGACTCTTCACCTGGTAGAGATGAGAACCAGTTCCACTCTATGACCATGTTCACACTTTTGAGAAGGTAGAGTTTGGGTTTCTGTGCAGAAGACCAAGTGTTGGCCATTGTTGCTCTTCTGCAAGACCTTCAGTATTGACATCTTTTCTATCCTTAAATAATTTTCTTCCCTTTTATTTGCCTCTTTTATTCCCTCTGTAGACTCTAATCCCTTACTGCTTTCAATGAGAACTATGACTGAGTGAAGAGAAACTAAGACAGATTAAAGGGACCACCTCTCCCTGTGGCACTGAGGCAGGAGTTCAATTTGACTCCCTAAGTGACAGCTGTGAGACCTTTCCCTGGTGCCCAGCTTCGTTGAATAAAGAAACATCCTCCAAGTAGCAAGCTGGAACTGCCCTCATGCCAGCAAGGGACACTTTAAAACTTCACAGACACCTTGGGGAAGCTATATAGCAACCACAGCTGCGCAATGCCAAGCACAGCTCGTTTCTGAAGGCATTGTCCTCGCCCCCATTGTTTCAAATACCTGTGCTGGACTTTTTAACCATCAAAAGCCTCGATAAAGTCTGGAGGACCTTAGCACCCAATCTACCCAGACCAGAGGGACAGTATTTCTCACTGTGACCCAGCCAAAGGCCTGTGCCAGGTGTAAATATAGTTCTTCATTTGCATGAGGGAGTGCCCTGATTGGTGCAACTGCAATCCTTTGTTTGCATGAAGGACTATGCCAAGATTAGTGCAAACATTATCCTTTATTTGCATGAAATAGTGCCACAATTGGGGCAGACACCTTCTGCACATCCCCTTTCTAGCTATATAAACAGGCTATTCAGCTCACTTTGGAAGATGGGCAGGAGACTCTCCTGTGATGCCCACCATTATCCCAACACTAGACTCAAAGACTTGACAAAGAAAGAATATGGTGGGGGTAGCAGCTGAGCAATGGCAGTGGTGAAGGTGGCGGAAGCAACAGTATGCCAGCTTCTGCTCTCTCTGCCAGCGGGAGCAGTGATATGTGGTGCAGCTACAGGAGCCAGCTTGAAGAGGTCCAGACAGCACAACTGGGCAAAAATGATGGGGAGTGATGGTGGCAGAGAAGGTAAGGACAGCCAGAGTCTAGAGAACTGAGAGGAGGCTGAAAAAGATACAAGGAAGAACCAGGGACGAGAAATTGTGGTTTCCTGTCACGGATGGTATTCTAGAGACCTGTCAAGCCCTGCAAATCTCAGATACCTTCGTCTTGAAAGATCTAACACATGCTGTGGAGCCAGCTGAAAGTCTAGTACCTCCGAAAAACTTTATGATTGCTGTTAACTCTAGAAGGAACTACCTACCATTGCTTACTCCTGTCACTCACAGTGGCCAGAACCCAAGGATGACAAAAGCTACCAAGTACTAGACCCACTGGTAGCTAATGCTAGAGCAGTGTCTCCAACGTGATTGCTAAGAGCCAGTCGCTAGCTACTACATGGAGAAATAGGTCCCTGTCTCTCAGTGTATAGAGCTGCAAGTCTCTGCCTGCCAGTCCACCCTCTAGGGCTCAGACCCTCAAAAGCTCAAGACACAGCCAGGCACCGGTGGCTCACATCTGTAATCCTAGCTACTGAGGAGGCTGAGATCTGAGGATTGCAGTTTGAAGCCAACCAAGGCAGAAAAGCCCTTGTGAGACACTTATCTCCAATTAACCACTCAAAACTGCATGTGGTAGGTAGGCGCCGGTGGCTCACACCTGTAATCCTAGCTACTCAGGAGGCTGAGATTGAGGATCAAGGTTCAAAGCCAGCCCAGGCAGGAAAGTCCGTGAAACTCTTCTCTCCAATAAACCACCAGAAAACTGGAAGTGGTGCTGTAGCTTAAGTAGTAGAGCTCTAGCCTTGAGCTGAAGAGCTGAGGGACAGCACCCAGGCCCAGAGTCCAAGCCTCACGACCACCAAAAAAAACTGTAAGCAGTGCTGTGGCTTAAGTGGTAGAGTGCTAGCCTTGAGCAAAAGAGCTCAGGGATAGCACCCAGGCCCTTAGTTCAAACCCCACAACCACCACCAACAACAACAAAAAGCTCAGGATTCCCAGCACTGGAAGAGTGTCTTGCCTACAAGATTCTTATTTGGATTGGTCAAAAAGATCTCAGCCAGCTGATCAATGACAAAACCACTAC